TTATTACTATTATTATTATTATTGCATCATGAGTCATATAATTTCTAAAATTCAGATTATAATTCTCTAGGGTGCTAAAAGATCTTCAGCCCGAGAGAAGCACTAAAATGTTTTAACTCGTTCGAAATTACAGACTCGTGGATAGAGAAGAATGTACTAAAGACTACGTAGGATTTCCAAAATTACCCAATGGCATCGACGACAGCATGATTTGCGCTGTAGACACGAATCTAACGAGGGGAGCAGACGCCTGTCTAGGAGATAGCGGAGGTCCACTCTTACTATTCAGCCAGCAAGGCGTTAAAGTAGTTGGAATTACGGCTTTCGGACAAGCTTGTGGTGGCTCCAAACCCGGCGTCTATACGGCTATATATCCTTATTTAGATTGGATCGAGGAGCAGGTGTGGATAAGAAACAACGAGAATAACAAAGCCGTCGTGAAGGCTCCGAGTAACAAGAGTGAACCTGTCATGAACCTGTCGTTTATTAATCCTATCTTTAACATCACGTACACGTCCCAGTGAGACATGGCTTATACGTGTTACACATACCTGGAGGATATTCGCATAATAGAATTGGATTATGTTACAGAGACAACGGTGTATATCATCAGTTCCATTTTTCCGATTTTCCATCCAATTTAATCGTGCATGATACCTTAGATGATCCGCTCTATCTGCTGCGTCATATCCGATGCAATCGTATTTTTTTATCGTTAGAAAATTTCTTATTGTTACGTGCGATTTTTTTGTAACATTTGCGTTTACGTTAAAGATTACCTCAAAAGGTTAAAATTCCTCTTTTCGGATTGAAAATACAGCGAGATTCATAGGTGGAAAATTAAAGGGTTAATAAATTGTATAGTGATTCGTAAACGAAATTTAGTAACTGAATAGTCTACAAAATATCGAAACTTTTTAGTAGAAAAGTTGGTAATTGAAGACCGCAGGGCAAGAACACGAGCTAAGTTACGTTTCCCGTTTCTTAAGCAAACAGTTTTAAAGTCGTAAATTAATCTCATGTTATCAAAATCGTCTTTGAACTTGATTTTGAAGCTAATTTTACGGATAACTTAAATCAGTGTCGTAATATCAAATTATTGAAAGTAATTCAAATATTGCTTACCTTGAATCATACCTCTCTCTGGTAAAGAAATTTGTCAATTATATTTTCAAGCCTCAAAGATGAACTTTAATTAAGTGTCCGAACCCCTAAATTTTTAGTATATCCAATGTGTGTCATCGAGAAGGAAAGAACGATAGGGAGTAAACATTAACAAAACCCTCTTTTATTTATTCACATTCTGTACAAATGTTATTTTACATAATGTCGATAATATCTACCGGACCAGCTCGGATTATTGGCCGGTAATTATGTGATAAGCGTCGATTTGAATACTCTTCGAAGTGAAGTACAGTTATTAAAACCGAGCTTAGGCAATCTTGGAATAAAGTAGAAACCGTTGTTGGCGGATAAACGTAAGATGTATTGATTGTATGCTTTTTGTAAAAAATGCAAACAAAGAAAAAATGCTTTCTAAACGAAATAAAAATATTTTAGACGAATACTGTGAACGGTTAAATACGTCTAACAAGGGCCTCGTATCTTTAAAGTCGTTACTCTTTAAGATATCCAGATGCAAAGAAATATACCAGCACCAAGATTCAAAGCGATTCCATGTAATCTAAGTTTACGATATAAGTTTCCACATTTTCCTCCAAGTGATTAATACATTAAGGACCAAGCGAAATGTAGGATTATTACAAAGCATAAATAAAGATTGTTTTATCAAGGTACAATGGCGTGTGAAGATGTTTGAATATTTATAAAAAATTTTTCTGAATGTATCATGTACGTTATATGAAAAATCACATTGGTGAAGTTTGAAGCGAGTCTGAAAATTTACGTACAAGTTACAAGATATTTGTAGTAAGTATTTTTAGTACTAATTATATGTTTTAGGCAACTAGTTATACTGTATGCTAATTTTTTTTAGTAAACATGTATTTGCAATAAACATCCTATAACTTTTATATACATTTGAAGGTATATTTTACTATTATAATTATGATAATCGTGTCTTATTATAATAAAAGATAAAGTTTGTTATAACACATAATTATATTCACAAAAATTTTCTATGAGTCAGGTGTGCAAATACTTGACAAAAGTCCATTGTGTAAATTAAAGAGATGAAATCAATCTTCGTGACTTAGAAAGGAGATAATACCTAGTATTATCGTGTAATATTTCAACTTCTTCAAACTTTATCAAAACGTAGGATCTAGATAGAAGAAGAAATACTATACAAAGAAAATATTTTGCAAGTCTTTGGAATGTTCTTTCGTAATTGCTGTATTAAAAAATAGAATTCTGTGATATAAATTCGTTAGAATAATTGAAAGTACGTTGACGCAACATTGGTCCTTAATGATTTCAAATTTTGCAAACCATTGAAACCATTTCAGCACAGATATAGATGTACAGTTCGTATTTCTCATAAAGGTAAATCGTTAAATCTATTATAGAACATCGAAATTCTTATTTATTCAACGTAGGGTGTACAACGATTATAATACAGTGTACTTGTACGCGATGTAATACTGTTAACGATCAGGTGCAATTGTATATATTGTATTTTAATTTACAACCTAACGAACGAATTCCAAAGAATTTCATTATTCCCGCGGACTCGTTCGTCCGCGACGCGTGATTCAAATGAAATTAATCGGGAGTCGTTTCGTCGATCACTAACACCGTAAAGCTTCGTTCACATTAGTCAAGTTACGTGAATTCAAGCCGCTTGAGCTCGAGTAACCTAATTTGAAGGGAACACCTAACACTAGGTAGAATATTTTTATTAGAAAATAAGAATAAAAAGCAAGTAATTACACGCTTGTTCATAAATATTAAGATACTTGCTGGTTTCGTACGAAACTTTTAATCCGAGGTATAATCTAAAATCAATTTTATTTAAAGTACCGTGGAAACGATTAATCAGAATTTTATATTCGCGTAGCATAAAGATACTTCAGATTATTTTAAATCGAGTCGGCTGATGAGGATAAACATAGAAAATTATAAAGATATTTCAACTGGAGTAAATTACACGCTGGTAAAGAGGTAACAAGTTACACGAATTTAAATTGCTCGAGTTCATGTAATTTGACCAATCTGAACAAAGCTTAACTTCTTAACAGTAAAGAGTTTCGTGCGTATAGAAAATTGAAAGGAAAGATATTTCCGTCGTATTAACTACGTACGTGTTGCATTCCCATCACCCATAGACACCTTCCACTCTCGTATCAATGCAATTTAATTTTCTAATCAATTTGAAAAATCCTCTGAACAAAAGTTATTCGACATATAACATTACACTAGCAAAGAAAGAAAATTGATTTGTTATACGATTAGGTAATACAAGTTAATTGATCGAATTATGATACTCTGTCTATAAAATCAATCAACAATTCTCTAGCATATCGTCCTTCATCTTGAACTTCATCGATTCATCCAATACATACTATAGTAATACGAAAAAGTAGTTTCTGTTTTCTCAAAAAGACATGTTTCGGAAGGGATTTCTAATCTTCAGAGCCTGTCGACGCTAAACGATCCTTGCAACTTAAATCTCGGCTCTTGAATTTTCACCCCCATTTGGTAGCTATCGTGTACAACGATCTGAGAAGTTCCAGCGCCCTGTTATCCGACGCAACAGTCTCGTCCTCCTGCAAAGAATTATTTTCATCCAACGTCGCGGTCTTTTCCGATCGTCTTACGATGCTCGCCGAATTTTCCGTAGTTGTTCGAAACTTGCGGCTCTTTCTACTTCTAAATGTGGTCACCGGTGGATCCGTGACTAATGGAGCGGTCGAGGCACTTTTTGCGTAATTAATCGACCTAACAGCAGGCAGACTAAGCTGATTAATTCCGGCCACCGCGTTCTTCGATTCCTCCGATGAAAATTCGTTCACGGGCAATCTAAGCAACGCGTTTAGCAATTCTTCCCTTTCACGTTGCAACGTTTTATTCGCTGGATCGCTGCAGTGTCGTATTAAAAGTAGAACAAGTTGTCGAACAGTCTCGTTGTTATCCGCCTGTTTCATCACCCTCATCAACGTGTTAGTACTCGAATCGTTTAATTTACCGAACAGTTTCTCAGCAATTTCGTTCTCTGTTCCATTTAACTTAGTCGTCGCTACTGTATAAGGCAATAAAGAAGTCACCACGGTGTCATGAGGCAAAGACTTGGTCGACGTGATGGAAGACGTTATGGTCGTCGTGATACTGCTGCGTGTGGTTATCATTGGCTTCGGTGTCGCGGTGTTTTCAGCTGTTGACGAAGTAAACGAAGTTGGAAGCAGAGAAAATGTCGTAGGCGAATCTTTATCCCTAGACAATCTCTGCGATGAAAACAAAACATCTTCGTCGCTAACGAATGACTCGTCTGAACTACTCGATACATCTTCACCCAGAGAAGGCGTATTTTCATAATCTACTCCTTCTCGACTATCAGTGACGCTAAACGTTCCTGTTGTAACAGTGGAGCCAAGGTCTGACTCTAAATCGTGATTAATTCTCTGAGGGTCAACGAACACCGAAGTCTCCCATAAATGAGTAACAGCTGGAGACGAAGTCCAGTGGTCACTGTCTAATAACTTTGAATCTTCCTTTTGATCTACGGACTCGAAAGAATCGTTAGAATCGTCATTTGCGCAAGGCGTAGTATCTATGCTATTTGTAGTGGAGGTTGTTAGTTCAGTAACAGCAGCTGTGCTTGTTATAGGCTTCTCTGTTGTCTCGATATTATGTTCGTCCACGTGATTGTAAAGATTTCTAAACTTCATGTAACTGCTTCGTAACGTAGGCAGGGAAATTCCAATTGGTTTCGGTTCGGCTAATAACGACTTGTGACGGGGAATTTTATGAGGTTGATTTGTAGAGGTTTCGTAACTCGTGGTTGAATCAAAGGTAGTCGATCGAACGCTATGCGTGGACATAGGTGTACTAGAATAACTTTCATGCCTCAACGACCCGAGAGTTTTATCATTATCCTTTCGAATCGTCTCTGGATGATCGTCGAAAAACGGAGGATTCAATTGTTGCTCAGGTTTCTTACTCGTCGACTTTTTGTTCCAATTGTAGGTAACCATGTGCACGAACACGGATGGAGAGGGAGGTGTCGGTGAAACGACGTAATTGTCGCTTATGGGAGTGCTGGCGAATAATTTGTCGAGTGATTCCGTGACAGTCGTGACGCTGTTATTCTGGAAACCCCCGACGCGATTTTGATTCCCAGTCTCATCGGACGAAACGTAGCTACTTGTCACCGCTGACTCGCCGTTTCCTTTGTCCACCTCGTTATTCTGATTGTAGAATCCGCTTGAATCATACGGTGTACTGTTTGGCTCTAAAGTGTACGCGCTCTCTGTTGGAGGAACGGAAGTCTCGAAATACGTGCCAGTCACAGGACTCAACGATATCAAATTGGTACTATACTCAAACCCGTCTTGAGAAAATACTTTGGGAGTAGTGTAGTAAGTGCTTGCTGATGTGCTAAAAGTATCGTAAACGCTCTCTTGGGTCGTAGTGGTTGGTGGTTCAAAGGTGGTAGGATAAATGGTAGTTAATTTCTGTCTTATATCGTTACCATCGTCGGAGAAATCTAGAACTTCGTCTCTTTCTCTGGTCGGGGAAGTGTTATCTTCGATCAGATAGGGAGTAGTAGTGCTCCATAAATCATTTTCTTCCGTAGTTTTAGATGGCTCGGTCGGTCTGATCTCCGTTAATACCTTCTTAAACGATTCTGGATCCAATAAATAGGCCGACAGAGCGTGTGTGAACACTTGAGCCAGCTCTCGAAGTCTAGTACTGTTAGTCTTTCGAAGATCATCCAAGGATCGTCCGCTTTGTTGGAGCTCTAAATCATCGTTATAATCCTCTCTGTAACCACTAGAATTGTCCAGACGATCTTCCGTAGTCACATTATTCGTCTCCACCTCTTCGTTCAATTTAAATAATTCCGTGTACGAATCGATAGTGTGCCTGGTTAGAAGACTGGTCGGCACTTGGACCGTTCCATTACTCTTCTTCGAAAGTGCCGATTCCTCCACATCCTCTGCAGACTCTATATTTATAGAGGAATCCGTAGTTTCGTTCGAATCAAAGTTCTCTGTGGCTGTAGAGAAATAGAGAGCTAGAGAGTGTAATGTCGAAGGAGCTGGAGGAACGGAAACGTTCGACGCCTTCTCGTTTTCTTTCAACGTTTCCGACAAACTAGATACACTATGCTCGAGATTCTTCAAAGAGTGTAGCATACTCAACGCGTGCTCTCTTTCGGAAAATCGCGCTGCATTCGACCTAATCTTACTCGACGACGTCGAAGTAGGATATTTCAGTTTTGGTATCAGAGTTCTCGGAGAGGTATAAGTCGTCGTATAAGTGGGCACCGTGGGAGTATATGGAGTTGGTTTTGAAGTGGTACTGCTAGAACTGTACGCGTAGTTTCTTGTAAACGGAATATAAGGACCTAGTGTAGACATCACTTTACCCTGTTTGTACGTGAAACTTCTATCGTAAGGACTCAGATCCTTCTCGGTCACGGTGTTCTGTTGATAAGCCAGAGTGCTTCTAAAAGGTTTCTCTGTGGTTGTGCTGATCAAATTTTGTCGATAGCCTGGAGATACCGTGGAGGGGTTCTTGCTAGTCGGTATAGAATCGTTGTTTAACCTATTAGACTGGTTATCGATCGTGGTTCGAGCCGCTGGTCTCTCTGTGCTGCGTCCAAAATTGCTGCTACGGAAAGATGCAGTTGGTGTGGGAGAAAAGTAGCTTGTAGTATATCTCTGCTGCGAAGAACTCGGTGTTATAGTGTTTTGACGATAGACATCTGTGGTCACGTAGGAACGAGTCGTAGGAGGAACTGTTCCTGTGTTCCCGATAGTTGCTCTATTATTATCCCTATTATCGTTACCATCGTAATAATTCTTGTCAACGAAGCTGCTTCGAACGTTAGTCCCTATAGTTCTCGCGTTTCCACGATACTCGTAGTTGCTGTTAGCAAACAGAAGCGATTCGGTGATCGGTTGAGTATCAGAATAAGTAGATGGATTCGTTAGAAAACTACTACTTTCGGTGGTAATCTCGTCGTTACACGGAGGAGTAGCAGTGACCGTCGAATACTGTGTCGTCGTCTCATAATAAGTAGACATCGTGTCTGTAAACGACGGGTAATCGTTCCTCTGTGTGGATACGTCGTTTTCATTATCCCGTCTCCACGTGGTCGAATCATAAATAGAATTTCTCGTAGTAGAATCACGATTAATGTACAATTGATAGTAATACTGGTGCGTATTTCCAGTGTTTTCGTTGAACCGATTCCCACGATTGCCAACGAACGCTGCGCTTTCTGCAAATTGCTGAGACTCTTTCACGGGGCTTGTATTGCTTCCTCTGAATGTAGTCGACTCTGTATAAGCTGGCGTGACCCTTTGCGAAGAAGTAGAGTTACTCCTATTCAGACCTTTAAACTTCAATCTTTTCAGAGCTCCTTTGTCATCACGTTGACTATTCGAGTTTCTGTTCGTAACGTAGTAATTTTGAGCCTTCTTCGGGGTGCTATAATAATCTTGACTGGTCGTCGAATACCTATTCACGTTCCCTTCGTCGGTGTTTCTTGTAAATTGATTGAATTGCTGCTTCAAGTTGGAAGGTTGATTGTTCGAGTGAAATCCATTGCCACCAAACAGTTGGTTACCGTCTCTTTGTGAGTTTGATTCTTGACTGAAATTGTTGCCAGAGTCAAAGTGTCGAGAGGACTTGATCCTTTCTCTGTTTGGTTGCACCTGATTTTCTTGCGGAGGCTCTTCATACGGTTTAATCCTTCCGTTCTGCTTACCATCGTAACTGAGATTCTGAACGTCGTAATAGTCTTGTTGCGCGCCTGATTCGATCGACTGTGGATAATCTAATTTCGATTTTCGAGACTCGGCCCGTCTTCGTTCTTCTTCAAATAACTGCTCGCTACTTTGCTCGTACAATTCCGCGGATTTGCTACAGTCCACCTTGAACCACCAATCGCAAATTAGCTGCGATTGTTGAAAGATGGTGCCGTTCGGACAAAGAAATGAGATTTTTCGCCCGTTGTCGCAGATATGGAATACCTGAACAGAGAAATGTTCATTGTGATAATTCATTGCTTGATTTTTGTTTATCGTGTACCATTACGGAATCATTTATATCAACGGAGTCTGTGTAGTTCGACGGCCAAAAAACATGAGAATATGAATGAGAATATAAGAACTAACAATTTTTTTAATCTCTCTTTTAAGAAATAAAATTTAATACGAAGGCCATATCAAACGAACTACGATGACTATTATAACACGTTATTTTCTTAAATCGTTAGGTTTTCCAGAAATAAGCAGTCTACAATAATAGAAGCGAAAACCCCAGTTCTACAATTGTCTATTCATCAAAAAGAGCATACATTGACACACAATACATAATTATACATCTTCGTAATGTATAATATCTTGTATTTCATAGTCGCATCGGCTGCCTGACTCATTTGATTACCAAACATAATCATACGTCATTATTATCTCTCGTTTTGAATTTTTATTCTATTTTTAACGTGTTTAAGATCGTCGACACTTTTAATTAAACTTCCTTCATGTTACGTTATTGGTAAAGATAATTTTTAGGAGAAAGTTTCACAAGTTTTACGAGTTAAATGGTCTATTCATCAGGTCTATCGCGAGACGAGATATCGCGATGTCGTAACGGTGAATCCCGCGTTTGATTAAAGTAATTATATTGCGGCAAGATATATATTAAACCATTTGTTACTTACTTGACAATTCGTCTCCAAGTCAGCGTAGTAACCACCTTTCAGACCGCGACAGCTGAACGAAGTAGCTGGAATTGTCGTGAGAGCTGGAAAATCCACTCCTGGCTGTCCTGTCACGCCTAAATTACAAGATCATGTTTCATTGTACGACTTGATCGTTCCCTTTTAATAATCCACTGACGTTTTAATTCCCAACAGCGAAATTTCTACTTTGTTTATTTTTTCTTTCTCCTTCATATTACGTGAATACGATGAAAAATTTAAAAAAGTGTGCAGGGATTCTATTAAGTCATGCAAGTTAATTCTTTTACATGCATTTAAAGCTTCTTGCAGTTGCTCGAAAAATGTTTTATTTCGTATCATTCAAAACGATTCTACCGCCTATAGCATATTACCACAATCATTTATTCTTCTTCTTATAAAACATTTTCTTTTTTAATTAATTCATAATCTTGAAACTTTTCCTTTTTCTTTTTTAAATAATTCATAATCTTGAAACTTTTCCTTTAATTTTGCTACAAATTTTCCAAACAACCTAATATACATACATGTTTTTACAAGACTCTATTACAAGACATGAAAGTCAGTATTAATCGATAATCTGATCTTCTTTTCTTTTTCCATCGATCGAGATCGATTTCTTGGTGATCCACAGCATTAGTTGTCACATCGGTCAGTTACAAAGGATATTAACTAGATGCATGCGCTTTATTCTATTGGGATAGAGGAAGCTGAAAGAGAAAGCGGCTGGTGTACTTATGCAGTATTATTAATAATACCCGCTCCTTTGAGCCATTCCTTGAGAAGATCCACATTGCCGAAGAAGACTGGGAAAGAAAGGCGAAGAAAGTATTTTAGAGACAGAACGGAAGAGGGTTAAGAAGTGTTACTTTCGGTGTTAATAAGAGTATGGCTTAGAAACCTTGATAAATTTGGTACTCGCCATTCTTCTCAGATGCCAGTCTTTTCACTATTTTTTTCAACGATTCCTCGTTCTCTATGGATGCTTCTATACTGGATAAATCCAACTCTGACGAAAGTTCTGGCAGATTTGCTTTTTTGTTACTAGTTTCTGACTAGAAGTGAAAGCAATTCGTAATGAAATTATACAAAATATTAACCGTGTTAAGTGTATAATAATTAGACTGAGGATTTCTATGCATTTATTGTTTATGGGAAATTTAAATGTACATAATAATACGCTGCATAAGATTGGAACGCTATAAATATTATAATGACGTTAGTATACTTGCATGTGAATCAGTTAATTATTTATATTAATTAAAACAA